ATGAGATAAGATGAGATCAGAAAAAATGATTTTTTCGCAGCGTCGAAAATTGGTCGCACACAATTTTGCTTTTTTTGAAAACAAAAAGTACAGAATTAAAATAAGATTTACTTTGTAAATTGTAGTTCTTTTCACGCTGCATCTCCTGGTATATTTTGTTTTTTTAAAACAGCGTATTAAGTGATGCAAAAATGAAATGGAAAAAGGCCGTTTTTTTTGTCCGAGGGAGAGTATAGAATACATTCTATTAAAATAGATATATAAGCGATAGGTGAACTCGTTCATTCGATTAGGTAATGTTGAGAATACATGAATTTCATTGAAGATTTCCAGAAAAAGAAATATTGCCTTTTTATGTCTTCATCATCATTTTAAAGACATACTGATCACTACTGATACATGCAACTATGTAATACTCTCATAGATGTAAAGTCAAACGACAGCGAAAAATGCTTCTCATGAATGATATATGATTTCTAAATACAAAACAATTTATTTGATTAATTATTTATTTCATTTTATTCAAAGATGTAACTCAATAGTTGGATTAAAAAAAAATTAGTGTTATACCGTTATTTTGTATATGTATTATTCAAAGATAAGCACGTATCAGTTGTGAGTGTGCATGAGAAAAAAACTTCTTCTGTTCAAACTATTCAGAAGAATAGAAAAAATCGAGAACAAGATGAGGTAAAAGGTGAATTCGAATATTTGATTCGACTGTATTTGACATCGGATGGACTATGTGATGACAAAATACAATTTAACGACAGACAAAAGTCAGTTTAAACAGGTTAAATAGCAAAATGATGCTTTTTCATTCGATAGGTAATTGAAATTAAGTGAAGAAAAGCAATTTGACTAGTTTGAAATGTTTTCAACACATATAACCTATTCATGTTTTTATACATTTCATCATATTTGGTGTATAAATTTGCAATTTTCCTTGCTTCATATTAATGGGTTGATCAAGCACCTATCGGAAGAGTAAAAACTTGTATTTTTTTGTGGTAAAAATACACAATTGTATTGAAAATACAACGTATTCTAATTGCTTGACGAAAATTGCCTATTAATATTCTCTAAAATTTATTAGACTGTAAAATAAATTAGAAGCAATTTAATATAAAAATAGGATATGGATATGTCAAGCAAACTATGACGCATTTCGATCTTGCTTAAGGATCTCAGCAAATTGTTTAGACAAATGTATTTAGTTGAGTATATGTTCAGATCGCAGAGAAGATAGGTAATCTACATTGGGTATGTATAGGGTTTTTGAGGTGTGAACAAAGATATTATTGATTTTTATTGAGTTTCTATGCTATATACTGTGCATGGTAATGGTTGTTTTGATGTGAGATATTTGTGCTTTTTGTTTGATGTTGTTTTTCTTTCTTTGCTGATTGCAGCTGGAGTGTGATTAGTGATATAGTTATCGTGATGAGCCTAAGTTTTATGGATCCACGCAATCTTTTTACTATGCCTGGCTTGTTGATTTATTGTACTTGCGATTGAAGGATTTTGAGAGGGTGTGAGTGTGGAAGCGTAGAATACTGACACCCAAACCTTTATTCAATTGTTTATCTATTTTTTTATGAATATTATTTTTTAAAGTTTTTTTTTTATTAATTCTTTTTAAATTGATTGTTTCATTTTTCTTACATTAAAATGCATTCTTTTTATTGTCGTTGTTTTTCCTCGGATCTTCTTTTTTGAACACAGTACCAAATCAAAATAAAATACTTGTAGACAATTAAGAAAACGAGGCAGAAAAAAATACATGCATACATGTTTTATATCTTTCATCAGATAGTGTTCCACTGATAACAATGACCACGGACTATGAATTTGAATCGATATTAAATTTTTGTACTCGATGATTGTTGCGATCAACGACATAGAGATTGCCATGTTGGTCGAAGGATAAACCGATGGGATTACTAAGCTGATTCGACTGTCCTCCTTGACCATTTTCACCAACAATGACACTCGCTTGTGTGGCACCTTTTGGCCAACGCATGATTCGATGATTTTCAAAATCAGCTACATAGACAGTACCCAATTGATCGGCAACGAGTCCAAAAGGACGTGACAATTGAGCAACACTATTTCCTTGACCTTGACCACCGGCTACAACAATGCCTTGTTTTGCACCTTCTTCCCATTTCATCACACGATGATTTCCATCATCGGATACGTACACTGAATGATCTCGATCGACAAATACGTACCAAGGGTTAGAGAGTTGATCAGGACGATTTCCTTGTCCATTGCCACCTGCAACTACTATTCCTTCAGTATCACCCACTTTATAACGTCTTACTTCATGTTTTCCTAGGTCAACAACATAGAGAGATCCATTCTCGTCCATTGTCAAACTCCAACAATAGATATTCGAAATGATTGTTTCTCCACTAGTACCATTTTGACGAGGCCATCGAACTACTCTTTTATTCTCGGTATCACAGATGATGAGGCTATTTCCCTCTTTGTCGATAATTACATCTCGTGGACCATTTAATTGATGAGCTCCATTTCCACTTCCATTTCCACCGGCAACCACTTGGCCATTCGTCGCACCACATTTCCATTCAACAATACGATTATTAGAGTATTCAGCGACATAAATAGTTTGATCATCATTGACATACAAACTGAATGGGTTAGCAAGTTGATTGATTCCGCTGCCTGATCCATTTCCTCCAGCCACAGTAAGACCATTCTGTATCCATTTTGCATTCGAATGAATGTCAGTCGAACTCGAACGTGGTGTTGCTGAAAGGAAACGAAAAAAAAGCGGAGTAGAAATAAAAATCGATTTCATTGAAATGAGTATCTCGTTTGTTTTTTTTGATAGTATTGTTTACTTGATGAGAATCTGATTTTCAAATTCAGAAACGTGTACTTGATTATGAAAATAAATTTGTTTTCTCAACGTTGAAAGCAAACATTGTTTATTTTCAAATATTTTATTCAATTTAGAGTCATACATGTGCATATTTATATAATTAATAATCAACCATTTCTAGACATCATCGTTCTATTTTTTTTTCTCTTAGAATATCGACTATTTCTTCTCAAAAGACACTGTCTCGTCATAGATACCTTTTTCTTCTACTACTAGACGATATGCTTGAATCGAGCAATTTAAACAATAGTTTTTTATTGTTCTGACGAATTGTTACATTTATACTTCAACTCATTGTTTAAAATATGGTGAAGATTTAACTTCTGAACTTTTCCCATATTAAAGTTTGAATCTCAAACTTGAATTTTCTAAAAACAAGTTTTTACTTCAACAGCAACAAAGAACCATTCAAACTCTTCTCGGACGAAATCACGATTTTGTGTCGAAGTTGCTCGAAACATTTTAGAATTGTTTGACATGTTTTTCTCTCTAATAGAATAATTTTGAAGATGTAAAAAAATTTGAACACCAGTAATCTTATCCTTATCTATTGAAATTAACACATTTCGAACAAAATTAATTCTCAATAAATGATTCGATTTGTAATAAGCAGAAAATTATAGAGTTGTTTTGTTTTCAGATATTTGGAAGATTGAATTCGATAAGAATACTGTGACTTTTTATTCGACAGTACATCACTGACTTTTGATTAAAAACATATAGAAATGTGAAAAAAAAAAACAGAAAATCAATTCGTTTCAGATTTCAGATTGAAAATATTTTCAGAATGATCATTTTGTAATCGAAATGAATTTTGAAATCCAACTGATTGCTCTTTACACACAAAGAAAACTTTCGTGAAAACAAAGAGAACAAATATCAGTCTAACGAGGGAAGGTCCCCAACTGATCAATGGCTTTTCCGTTGAGACTATATGCATTATGTAGGTGCAGAAGAGTTATGAATACTCTGAAAAAAGTTCGGACTGCTAGCTTATTGCTACGAAGATACTGCACTTTTACGGTATGTTTTTAAATGAAAGCTGTGGTCCCCCTCAGGAACACCAGAAAAAATGATTTTCGAATTTCGACTTGAAACTTTACATATAAACAAACCTTATCGAGAATAATATTTTGTAAAAGTTTCAGATCTTTTTTGCTGTTGTTATCGGTAGAAACAACTATGATAATGTCTTTCAGATAAACCAAAAGATTTGATGTTGTCATTTTAGGATAAGAACAAATAGAAAGACCTGAAAGTTTCATAAAATACTATTCTCGATAAGGTCTGTTTATATATAAAGTTTCAAGTCGAAATTCAAAAATCAATTTTTCCGGTGTTCCTGAGGGGGACCACAGCTTTCATTTAAAAACATACCGTAAAAGTGCAGTATCTCCGTAGCAATAAGCTAGCAGCCCGAACTTTTTTCAGGGTATTCATAACTCTTTTGTACCTACATAATGCACATAGCCTCAACGCAAAAGCCATTGATCAGTTGGGGACCTTCTCTCGTAAGATGATCTATTGTTGAAGATTTCCTGAGAGACAGCAATGATAATTTGTTTTATATCCAATAACATTTTAGAATTGATCCATTACATGTGTATTATGTGCAAGTTATATTTTTTTTCAATTTTCATTTTAAACCAATGAAAATCCCGAAGTAACATAAACAAAAAAAAATTGTCTTCATAGCAAGAATTGGAATGTTCTCAACATCTATATGGATTGCTACGTAAACCATATATCCGTTTAGTATGATTTTTGATAAATCATTGAATGGAGTCAATTAAATACGATTTTGAGTTATCTTATTTCTAATTCATTCATAGTTCTCGTAATTTATCTATTTTATAAATTCGACAAACTAAACATATTCGTAGAATTTGTTTCTGATCTAAAAGTGCATTTTCCAACAAGAAAAGTTTGTTATCATTTTTGTGCCACTTTCGTAGTTCATGTGAACCATTCTTTTCTTTGTATCGTCCTCTTTCTCTCTCTCTCTCAACAACCTCAAAGCCAGAAAAGAAGCGAAGTTAAATATGCGTGGTGATGTTGAAGATGATAAATTCTTTCAAACATCTGTTTCTCTCTCGAAATCTGCTCAAACCTATTCGATCCATGATAAAAGTGTCGAATTGAATAATTCTTTTAATAAAGCGAAAGTATCGTTTGGGAACAACTAACTATTATAGGAACATCTTCAGTGTCTTGAAAATTGATCATTCATTTTCTTGAGTGAATTTGTCAATGCAGAAAAGAATTTTTTTATCGAATCTGTCTCGTTTTATCTTCGTGTGAAATTGGGCAACGCGCAAATTTATTTTCTTTTGCTTTTTTAATGAATGTTTAAAACGAAAAGAACTAACTTTGACTTAAAACAAACTTTTCACTTTGTCTAGACACTTCGTATATGACGTTTAACTTGAGAAATCGAACGTCAATATTTGAAATATTATGGTTCAGTTTATTTACTAGAGTTTAATATTTTGAATAAAAAAAAAAAAGTAAAGTTGATACGTATGATATTTGACTACTGAAGAATAAGTTTCGAAAACGTAGTATACATCTTTTTTTGTATATTATGGTGATTTTCATTCATCTAAATACATATTGTAATTTTTTCCTCATGATCGAAAACTTTCTCAAGTGTAAACTGATTTACTAAAACATACCTAGATCAAATGATTTTAGCATTGAAATTCTCTTTGAATAATAGTTTCTACAGATCTTTCTTCGCCTATATAGTCACTTTTACTGCTTTTTTTTTTCAACTTATAGAAATATAAGATACAACTTCTAATGCAACTAACTATTCATGTACTCACGTATTGTGAATAACGATTTTTCTTATTTTACAGTATGACTGATTATTTTGTACAATAAATCTGTCTAATGTTTTTAATTCACGTATAATTTAATGATTAGACTCACTTGAGGTTATTTTTACTTGAATTTTGGTTACGAGTGGTGTGGAATCTTGTTGCACTTTCAAATCTGGTGGATTGTCGAGTAACGTCTTTAATTGTTCTAATTCTTGTTTCCATTTCGTTAAGTCTGTGTCTACAAAATAATTCATGTTAGGCTTCTGACGAAGTTCATCCGTTAATGGGCTCAATCGCTGCTCTACTCTTGGAAAAAACTTAGCAATATGAGACAACAATATTTGTTTAGCTTCTTTTGCCACTTGCTGAATCTTAGCGATTGAATCACGTTCCCATTCGTCGATTTTTTTCATCAATGCATGCTGTTGAGGTTCAGCTTTTTGTTGTTCTATTTTATGCATAAGACCATCTCGTTCATTTGCAAGTATTTCCAATTGTCGACCGAGATCCTCACGATGTTTTAAATAGTGTTCATGACAATAAAATACTTGTGGACATCCCACACAAGTCGCTGTAACTCTTGCTATGCAATCTGTAACACAACAAGATTCTCTATTTGTTGTCGCCATAATGTAAATATTTGAATGTGAGTAAGTTGAAGAATGAAGCTAGAAGAAATAGTGAAAAGAAAAAAAACACACGTGCCCATTGTGCAATATCAATAGATTACTCAACCATAGGTAATCATTGTTGACAAAGTTTCCCATAGAATGGTGAAGAACGGAAGAGAAATTCGAAATGAAGTTACTTCACAAATGAAAAAAAAGAATGTAGATAATCAAGCTGTTTTGTTCAAGCTTCGAAAAACAATAATAAATCATGTCTGTGAACTTCTATTGAGGAATTTTATTCTTACTTCCTACTAAATGAAAAAAAAATTTATACAGAACACTACGAGAAGTTGAATGTGTTTTATGCTTTTATTGCCTCGTTATAAACACAAATCACAGTGAAAGATCATATTATTATGTTCTTTTCTAATTAAATCTCGTAAAAAAATTATTAATTTGATTTTGTTCCAACAAAGAAAACAATCTGATGTTTTTCATTGCTTTTCTATACACTAACGAAGCAACAAAATGTGAACATATACGTTTCAATTCATATTTTAAAATGAAATTACATATGAAGGATCATGAATCATAGTTTAAAAACTCAAACTAAATAAATTCTCATCATTATTCATTTCCATCTTCTTCTCGTTCTATTAATTGAACAGTTGTCTCCATCAATAGTTGCATAAATACATTTTTTTTTCACACATCAACATTAATAGATCACTATCAAGATTTTAAAAAGTAATTAAAATTCTTCTAAGAAGACATTATATTTTACCAATTCTCTATTGTGATGATGTCATATAGAATTTTTTTCACAGTTATTCAAGATAAAAAATCAATCGAAATGAAAAAAAACAATATGCAGTACAAAATTTATTTATTTCTCAGAAAAGAAACGTAAAATCGATATAAATTGTTAATGTTTTGCTTGAAATCACACGGTCAACATTTGCAGACTATGAGAAAGTTTTCTCAACGAAACAAATAAAGTTTTAAATTTTGATTCGTTTGGCTTTCTTCACTATGATTTATGTTTTAAAACAATCTAATTCAGTTTTCTATTATTCGACAAAAATCTTGTTTATTCAGATTGAAGCTATGAGTGGCACACATTTTTATCGACCAATCAAGAGGCAATATGCAACTCATCTATTATGAATATTTAAAATAGGACACCGTTTTTCCAAAAAAATATCAGATCTGAAATACTTGATATTGACCCGCAAGTCCACATTCGAGAATCCTACGTAGGATAATTAAGCACATTGTTTGAATAAAGGTGAACTATTTTTTTTTTGTCTTGTATTCTATATTAGGGTGAATAATTTTTCTCTCGGGAAAAAGTCACTATGGCATCAAATGGGTTTTAACGAGTTAACAATATTCTAATATAAGATATAATATTAATTTTTGCCTCGGGAGTGTTAAAGAGCTAAAACTTTTAGAATAGACTATGGAATTAATTAATAGCCGCAAAGGCCAAAAATTATATACGCACTTTTTATGTGCTCCAAAAAAACTATAGTTACGCGAGAGAAAAATTTTGATATCGTCAAAAAGGAAATAACTATGTTAGAATTGTAGTTCATGGTCGATTTAATATTCCGATGTAGTTTGTTTTTTTTTTTGAACTAAAACAAAATCTGAACAGAGTTTGGTGTTTAATGATTATTGAAAGAATGTATTGTCATATTCTTAAAATTCGTCTTTTAAGGAGAAAAATCACATGAAAATAGTAAATCGACTATGATCTACATCCTAATGTAGTTATTCCTAGTTTGATGATAACAACATGATTCGTTCACTATAGGCCTTTCGAACTACAGAAAAAAGGTACGTAGGTAAATTTTTGCATTACAGAGTTACTCATCAACCCAAACATCTACCCTGAAAGTTTCAATTCTCCAAAGATTCTGAGACAAAATTTGATTTTTTTCTAATAATGTAAGTGAATATATCAATAATATGACCAATCACGAAAAAATACTCTCATCGTACATTTTTCACAAGGAAGTATCTTTTAGACTCTCTTGAATATAACATTTCTGAAAACAAAACAAATTCTTTCGATACCCTTTGCAAATATAGATTGAAATTCTCCCTTTGTAACTTTCTTTGTTTTCTTACTTTGAGTTAGTAGAGTTAGTGTTGTAATTATTGGCAGTTTTACTTTGATTGTATTGCGTATCTCAAAAAAAAAAAAACAGAAATCTAACTAAAGATAAGAACTATTCACAAAAAAAGCACATAATAATTCGAGAAAGAAAAGAATACAATTGTATCAAATAAATGACCTCATGCAAGTTTCATCTTGATGTTTGTCAAAGATTTACTTGTTTCAAAGTGCGAGATACGAGTCAGAATAAACGAAAATGTGTCGACATAAGAGTATTGCTGCAGCTAGCCGACATGATAAAGCAAATAGTAAAGGTCTCATTCTTTCTCATGTACAATTCGCTTTCGAAAAATTATTCTAGTCATATTTTTTCATGCTTCAATAAAAAGTTATACGTTCATTATTGTTGATACATGAATTGTTTGGATGTGGGTGTGAAGAAAACGCCCAAACTGACATGTACATATTAACACCCATATCCATATAGGTAAAACTATGAAGTTATTTGTTATTGGCAATATACAAAAGTCCTGCGGATATGGATGTAGTAGTTGCATGGAGTGTAGGGCGTGGATGTAACTATGAGTCTTCGCTTTACTCACACTCACACACCGATCAAGACTGTCAGAAGTCAATTTTAGATTCGGTTCCTCGATTGGGAAAGTAATTAGTCAAGTATTATAAAAAAAAAAAAAGGGCGTGGCGGTGTGTGTGGGGTAACCGTATGTTTACTGTGACATTCATATTCATCATTAACTATAATATTTTCATTCAGGACATATTTCATCTAAAGTTATTCTAACAATTTATGAAGGAACATTTTATTATAAAACATAAAAGATTTATATATATATGCTCATCTAATTCAACATGACAATACAATAATAATCAGAGTATTGTTCTGTTTGATGTGAATAACTGCTGGCAAACACAAATGACGTTCTACAAAATTTTCAAAACTAAGAAACTGCATAGAATTGTAATGATATTTAGTGTTAATCGTTTGATTTATTTCCAGGAGAAATTTTATTTTTAAATGATTTAATTTATTTATATCCAAAAATCTATTTACATATCTGCGTTTGACTGGAATATGTATTATAATAAGGACTATTATCATTATCATTCGATAAAAAAGAGAGAAGAAAATTTGACATTGAAAGAGAGAGGAAAAGAAATGATCCATTGGATCTACAATTATAAACAGAAAAATACATTGAAACGAACATCAAATTGATTAAACAACTGTCCGTTGTCGAATTCGATCCCAAAGTGGAAGAGGCAAAACATCTTTATTTTCATTATCATGATCATCAGTATTATCTGAAGATGATAATTGAAGTACATTATCATGGTTTTTGCGTTTCTGTTTTATCGGTTTATTGACGAATACATCGGTTATTTCACATTCATCATTATTGAATTGTTGTTTTTCACGTAAAAGAATATCTAATACATCAAGTGACAATGATGTATTTAATAGAGTAACAGGTTTTTGAGCTAGAAGAAAAAGAAAACAAATGATTAAATATTTAATTATCATTTTTCTTAAGCCCCACCCCCCCCCTCAAAAAAAAGTCAATTTTCGTCAAAAATTTCGAAATTGAGATAAATGCATGGAAAGATAGCCCTTGGTCTGCTCTTTCATAACTGATAAAAAGTTTTCCTCGATACCTCCTTTTTGTCCAAAATTTTCGAAGATTTTCGTCACCCCCTATTCGAAAAACCAGCTGTTTTTTGAAAAATCAAAAAATGTTTTTCGTTTTTTCTCGGTTTATGATTTTTTGATTTTGGGACAAG